GGGGGGGGCATACGGAGGGTCCACACAGATGGGGGGGGCATACGGAGGGTCCACACATACAGCTACACAGACACAGAGGGGACATATGGACAGTCTTCACACAGCCTTACGGACATGGGGGTACTTCGCAGTCTTAGCATAGATGCCCAGACCTCTTTCTCCGCAGCCACCTGCTCCAGCTCCATCAGAGTACCAAGGCGTTCCAGGATGGACAGAGGCGGTGTTTAGGAGGCATCCTACATAGATGCCCAGACCTCTTACACTGGCACCTTTCAATGCAGAGGAGCAGTAGCTCTACTTTGAGCCCCTCCTGAATGTCCGAGCGCCCCACCCTATCCCTAAGGCTGAGCCCGGCCATTTCTGCCGCTTTGATCCACGACCTCATTCTTTACAGTCAGTTCATGACCAAAGGTGAGGTTAGTCACTGAACACAGATGTTAATCTGTCCCTGGACTCTCTATATGTTTGCCAAGGCAGTTTGATGGTCTCATCTTACACAATGTGTGAATATGTCTGTTTCCAGCGAGATGCTCAATACAACACCTTGTGACAAAGATGTGTAAGTGCAGCTAATGCAGCTGTCAGTCTATTGCCCCTGTGGAAGAACGTTTTATTTTTATTTAGACATATTCGGAAGTTTCTGGGAGACGACGTGACATGACAGTCAGGAGTGGGTTTGGGACACATGATGTGTCTTTCCTCTATAAAAGAAAACGTCAAGTAAAAGAAACGTCAAGTGAGATTTGGAGCAAGCTGTCACCAGAGGGGTCAAACGTCGCCCTGGATGCTGAGTTTGTTACGCAAAGGACCTGTGTTTGTGCTGAAAAAGCCTCGCCTGTTCTCCGGTTTCAGCTGCCACATACCGAACAAAGTAAGCAGAAAGAAAAGGGATACGTGTTTCCAATTTATTTTCAATTTCGAGGTGTGCACATTGGATGGTAGGCTTTGGACAAAATAATTGCGTCCTCTTAAAACGTTACTCAGTCTTGTACCCCGCATTGTCGGAAAGAAACAAGGTTCCCGCCGCGTAAATCAAACTACCCCACAGCTGTTCCTGCTGAAGAAAAATATAAAAGTAGATTACAAATGGAAGGCGGCCTTTTGTTTGGTGTGGCGTTTGTTGATAGGCTTGCTGAGTTTGCAGTTTGGGTGCAATATGCAAGTGGACTAGAATTAGAATTAAGTGATCAGTGGTCAGTGGTCATTGTCAACACACCACAGCAGACAGTGCGCAACAACGAAATGTGTCCTCTGCATTTGACCCATATGTGACTTTCGTGACATAGCAGGGGGCAGCTAATTCAGTGCCCGGGGAGCAGTGCTTGGGGACGGTACCTTGCTCAGGGTACCTCAGTGGTTACTTGCTGGTGGGGGGATTTGAACCTGCAATCTTTCAATTACAAGTGCGCTACCCTAACCATCAAGCCACCACTGCCCAGTGGGTGGGGCAGTTGCCACAGGGTCCAGGGCCCCCCCATGAAAGTTGAGAGCCCTCCACCGACTGCAAATCTCAGATATATGCAAATACTTGAGCAGATTAAGGTGCTGATGTCAGGCATCTAACAAATGCTTGTGATTCTCTGCTAACTACTGCAGTGCATGATGGGTATGATATTCGGAGCCTACTTAAATGTCATCATCTGCACCTGCTGCAACTGGCATAGGGGGGCACGGCCCATTTTTGCCCTCGGGCCCAGTATACAGTTGTTCCACCACTAGCAAAATGTGAGTGTTGGTTGTGATTATATTTTACGGTGAATTACAATATTTCCATTGAATAAGAAAAATATGCACAAGCTGCTTTGGAAGCTGCCAGATATGTGCTATTCCGAAACACGTAAGTCCTTTTTGGTGTAGAAAGGAAATGGATCAAAGCGCAGGATGAGCATCGGTCAGCAGCCGGGGGCCACATCTGCCTTTAACACAGGTGTCAGGCCACAGCACTTATACTCAGGAGCGTCACTGGGACTGAAAGACAAGGGAGGCTTTAGCCCCCAGGGTTGTAGGAGGGAATTAGCACATATAGAGGGCTGAAAATTTTTCACCAAACCTAAACAGGCTTCTTTAATTTTATTATGTCGTGTACAGCAATTATGCTGCTATCTGGCTCACGTTCATTTCACTGGCTTCTCTGGAACATTCCCTGCCTTTGGTCTTCTTAGTCTTTAGGATGTCCACCTTTTTTTTTATTACAGTATAAATGAGTCCATGAGTATTTTTTAACAGCCTACATGTTGGGGTTCTGTTCATTAAAAACATGCTAGCAAATATATCAAACAATGCGTTTAATAATATTAAATGTGAAACATAATATCTAAAGATATGTAGTTTCACAACTCCTCTTTCTTCTTGCTTGGTGCTGTAAATTAGTTTTAAAATAGCCAACAACGTCACTTTCCTTTCACTTAAGGAAACATAAGTAAAGTTAAGCAATTAACAGTTATTGACACCTACTCACAATCTCTGACAATGAAATTATCTGGCCACTTCTTTCTGTTAAACGTTGCTACTCGCTAACAAGCAGCGACATATACTATAGCTTCGGCCTGGGTCCTAATACCCATACCTATAGCAGCTTAAACAACCAGAAGATAATTTTAATTGAATAATGATAGCTAGACTTACAGTATTATTTTTAATTTCAATTCCTAGTCTTGCTTCTATTTGCTAAGTGCGTACCTGCGCTCAGTGATATCTTGTATGAAATGTATGGATATATAATTTACAGAGGTGGACATTTCAGGTCCAGAAAGTAAAAATCCAAACCAGGATATCATGTCAACCAACCAGTTGAGTACTCTGTGACTGTGACTCTTTATGTTCAACTGGTTGGTTGAAATGAAATCCTGGTTTGGATTTTTACTTTCTGGACCTGAAATGTCCACCTCTGATAATTTAAAAATAGTATGATAATTATTATATTTTAGGGGGGTCTTGGGATCATTTTGGGGCGGCTGAAGCCCACCCTAAATAGGCCTAATGACACCCATGCTTATAAAGTATGTATTTAAAAGGCAATATGCATGACAGTCACATTATATGTACACAGTCTGCCCTTCCCTTCTCCGGCAAGTTTTCGGCGTGTGCTTGACGCCAGGCCCCAAGCTGACCCTCCCCACCCTCTCTGCCTCCTCGTACCCTGACCCCCCCCAGCCTCTCTGCCTTCTCGCATCAACCTCAGACCTCAGCCGGTTAATGGATGAGAGCCAGGAGGTGGACGGAGCTCGTGGAGCGTAGCCAGTGAGAAGGGAAATGATCACTCTGGGTGAGTCACTTCATCCTGAAAGGTTAGCCGCCGCCATCCGTCTGTCCGCAGACTCCCTGCTGGCCTGAGGACTGCCCCCCTGTACAGACCCTGGGCTGGATGCCGGACCAGAAACGGTCAGTGATTCGGTGACACCACTGCACTAAACTGCGTGCCATTGGTCAACTCCAGCTGTTACAGGAGGACGGCTGTGCCCCAACCATGGGCAGCCACCCGCATGGGCAGCCACCCGCATGGGCAGCCACCCGCATGGGCAGCCACCCGCATGGGCAGCCACCCGCATGAGCAGTAATGCCGACGTGTTAATGGTAATAATAGAAGAGAAAGTTCTGAAAGGATGAATGGCAGCAGAGCCACAGGCAGCCAGTGACACGAGATGAAGCTGAGCTCACGGGAGAGCAGGAGGAGACGCGGCAGAGCTCCAGCAGGAGGAGACGCGGCAGAGCTCCAGCAGGAGGAGACGCGGCAGAGCTCCAGCAGGAGGCGCCAGACTGGGCGAGTCATCTTCAAGCCAAAGGCAGACGCTGGGTCCTGCAGACTAAGAGTCACAGCATCGTGACATTGTGACGTATGTGTGTGTGTATTTGTGTGTGTGCGCATGTGTACATATGTGTGTGTGTGAGTCTGCAGGTTCCACTGCGCAGTCATTTTACGGATGTCAGACAGCTCCACAGCAAGCACCATCCCCCCCAAACCAGAGCCTCATCTGAGAGGCTGAGCAGAGAGGAACAGAGATGTGTGTGTGAAACGCAAACAAAGTGTGTTGTGTCAGGATCAGGTGCTGAAAAGACAAATAAACCGCACCTTTCCACAAGAGTTTAACTTCGCTTTGTGGCTACTGTTGCCATAGTAACAGCCCCTTCTGGCCCCGAAGCCCCCCATTGGAAGCCTAGTGACCCACAGCATGCTCCTTTATGTAAGTGTGTTTTTTCAAACAACTAACTCTGCTTGTGTGGCTCAGGCTGATGTCAGAGAGGGAATCAGGCACTTCCAGCATCACAGAGGCCAGATAAGAGGAAGATGCAGAACACATGAGGAGGGGCCAGTGTACAACCGGGATCGGAGGGCTGCAGATGGAGCATTGCTAAGCCCCATGTAACTGTCTGACAGGCCATTGTGTAACATGACAGACAGCTCCGCTTTTCATTTCAGCCCCTCGCTGTCGAATCGAAGTTACTGAAATACCAGGAGCTGAGTGTGTCCAGCCCTCCCCCTCCTCGTGGTGTCTGACCTCCTCATGGATGCACTCTCCTGCCCTTTATCCACACACTCTCCTGCCCTTTATCCACACACTCTCCTGCCCTTTATCCACACACTCTCCTGCCCTTTATCCACACACTCTCCTGCCCTTTATCCACA